GAACTAAACCCACAATATCTCTGAGGTATGCCTGTAATGTTATGGAAAAAAATTTTAATTAGATAACCTAGATAGAGTGGACAAATTTCTAGAAAGACACAAATTACTGAAACTGGCTGAAGAAGAAATAAAACATCTGAATATATCTATTTGATTAAAGAGATTGAATTATTCATTATAAGATAAATAAGTACAGGATATAATGTACAACATGAAGCTATAGCTACACTGCTGTATGGGATATACAAAAATTGTAGAAAGCAAATTCTAAGAGTTCTCATCACAGGAGAAATTTTCTTCCTTTATTTTTTTCTTCTTTCTTTTGTTTTTATTGTACCTACATGAGAAAATAAATTTTAGCAGGACATACTGTAGTAATCTTTTCACAATACACATAAATCAAACTATCATTCTGTATGCCTTAAACTTATACAGCAATGTATCAATTATTCTTTAATAAAACTGTTGGATAAAGTTTTTTTTTTAAAAAAAGATCCCTCCCTCACACCATATATAAAAATAATGGATCGTAACCTAAATGGAAGATCCAAAATTATAAAACTCTAGAAGAAAGCAGAAGTACATAACTTTATGATGTTGGATTAAGCAATGGTTTGTTAGATATAACCCTAAAAGCACAAGTAACAAAAGAAAGAAATAGATAAATTGGACTTCGTCAAAATAAAAACTTTTGTGCTTCAAAGGAAACCATCAAGAAAGCAAAAAGAAAATCCACAGAATAAAAGAAAATGTTTACTAATCATATATCTGATGAGTGACTAGGGTCCAGACTATCTGAAGAACTTTATAATTCAACAACAACCAAAAGACAAGCCAGTTTAAAAATGGGTAAAGTATTTTAAGACATTTCTCCAGAGAAGATACACAAATGGCCACAAGCACATGAAAAGATGCTCAACAACATTAGCCATTAACCATCTCATTAACATAATTAGGCACTACTTCACACCCTGAAGAATAGATATAATCAAAAAGATAGACAATAACAAGTGTTGGTGAGGATGTGGAGAAATTGGAACCCTCATCCAATGATCTCAGGAATACAAAATTAAAGGTGCTGGGAGAACAGTCTATTGGTTCCTCAAAAAGTTAAAGCTATATATATATATGTGCAAGTTTGCATTCCATAGTGAGGAACGAGCCAATAGGTAAATGCTCCCCCTCTCCATGCAACTCCAGGACAGACCTGAGACATATTCCATACTTATTCTCAGACAACCCCATGGGATAGAGTTACCAGTGGCCCACATCAGTGGCCAGAGGATGATGTAGCCTTATTTTGGCTTTCTCTTTTCACTATTCCACTTCCATGTTTCCACAGTGTAGTGGTTATCACATTTCACTAGCACTACTCTGCCTCCCTATCTTTCACTTCTCTTCCCTGGAATTATACTTCCCAATGAAAGACCCACACACAAGCCTTTGCCCAGGCTTTGCTCTCTAAAGTACCCATGCTGAGTCAGCCATGTCTAAAATTCTCATAATTAAGTTAGAATCTATAAGAAGCAATAAGAAGTTTGTTCATGCATTCTGTACCCTGTATCTTGTATCTATTAACTGTAAGCAGTTACACAAGGCACTGAAGAGAGAAAAGTTTAGCAGACATGGACCATGCCCTGGAGTCTACCTGTGGCAAAGGAGGATACTTAAAGACAGAGACACAAACAAACCATTAGAATAACATGTGAGTTCTAGATCTAAGGCATGTAGAAGGTGCTTGGAATTCCAGGTAGGTATCTAACCATGTCCAATGCTGGCAAACATGTGGAGTAGTTGGAGCTCCCAAGCATTGCTATGGGAGCACAAGCTGCTATAGCCAGTCTGGAAAATGGTGCAGCAGTTTCTTTTAAAGCTAAAGATACACCTAGCACATGATACCTACCCACACGTAGGTAATTACCCAATAGAAGTGAAAACTTAAGTTCATGCAAAACCATGTACACAAATAATTAGACTAGGTCTTCTCACAATCACCAAAAACTGGAAACAATTCAAATGTCTTTCAATGGGTGATGGGATAAACAAAATGTATCCATACCATGGAAGACTACTCAGCAACAAAAAGAATGAACTATTGATATACAAAGCAACTTAGATGAATTTGAAAGGTTTTATGCTGTGTGAGAGAAGCCAATCCCAATTCCAAAAATTGCAAAAAATCTGATTTTATGTATTAGACCTCCTCTAAAAGACAAAACTATAGTGACAGAGAACATATCAGGATGTGCTGGGATTAAGGCAGGGGGCAACTATAAATGGGTAACACTGAAGTTTTTGGGGGTGATGAACCTGTTCTGTATTCCAATTGTAGTGATGGTTACACAAATCTGTATCTTTGTTAAAATTCATAAAATTTTGTACCAAAAGGAAAAGTCCATTTTTCTCTATGGTAACAAAAAATAAGAAAGAGAAGGAGAATGAGAATTAATGTTGTGTTTAGGTTATGATGTTTAAATGAAGGAATGTGTTATGATGCTATGTTTTGTTACATGGCATAATCTGATGTTATATGACACCATATGGTAATTATGTGATGTCACATTGTACACAGTGTTATATGACACCACTTTATCATATATCATGCTGTTTTATATAATGTCATGTGTTTCATGATGTTATATGACAGCATATAGTCATTATGCTCAACTTAAACAGCACATCACATTCAAAACAGCAAATCACCAAAGTTACATCTACTGACTGTAGCACTGGGAAAATCTTGCATCAGTTTTGCTCCTATTCCCATTAGCAGGGTTACTATAACTATAAGGAAACTATGCTCCACTTAAAATATGTGCTAATTGAACTTTTCTCCTCGTCAATTCAACTCTTTCATCATGATGAATGAAAATATATGGGTTATGTATTCCAGGATCCCCAGATAAAATCATTTCTTCACCAACCCTAACTGAAAATATGAGATTTAAAAGCTTCTTATTTAAGAAGCCCCTGGATCACAGATTTAACAACCATGCAAAGAGAGGTGCAACATCTTAGTAAAAAGCGTTCTCAGGCTAAAATAAAAAGTTTTGCAGTAATCAAGATTTTAAAAGTCCATATAAAGATGTGACTTTAAATTTTTAAAGTATTGTTATTTATACAGGGATTGCTGCCAAATGCTGACAAAATTGCGTGCAAACTCCCATATCTTTTAGTCTTTAAAATACACGCTATGTTCTTTTAAAGTGTGATCCCAAATAAAATTAGAAACAAAATATTCTGAAAATACCCAAAAGAATTATCTAATGGAACCCTTCTGCCCACAAACACCAGTTTTATTGTATTTTATTGTATTTGCTTAATTACCAGTGGTGACATCTCTTAAAGGTTTATAATGCTAAAATTACATTATGTCTGCAGTGTTATTCAAAATAATTACATTGTACAATAATTTCTAGATGTAATACACCAAATTTAATTAAAACTCATGACATTTTTAAAATGTAAAATGTAAAAGCATTGTAGCTTTTACAATGGCATTCTTTGGCATTCTTCTTTAATACATCAGGATTCTATGTGGATTGGCTCTCAGGTGTGGATAAAGAATACTTTTCATCTTAGAACTCAGCTCAGGCTGCCTGGCAAATTGGATTTGAGATTATTTAAGGAAATAAATTCTGAGAGGTTGTGAACACATGATATAAAGCTGGACACCCAGTCAAAAGCATGTATATCGTGTACTATGTATAAGACATTAGCAATGTGTCTTTCTACATATGACAGAAAAGGGAAATTAATCTACAATCTAATATACCTAATAGTAGCCTAGATCCAAAGGAGCAATGATGTGGTTGTGAATAACTGAAGCTTGCTCACATTATCCATCTATTTTACAAAGTGAAGAGGCTTTGCTTTCTATAGAAGTTATCTTCTTCAAATGTTGTAGTACATCAAATTTTTATAAAAAGATAGTTAACAGGGGAACCTGGGTGGCTCCATGGTTGAGCATCTGCCTCATGACCCCGGGGCCCTAGGATTGAGTCCCACATCAGGCTCCCACAGGGAGCCTACTTCTCCCTCTGCCTGTGTCTCTCATGAATAAATAAATAAAATCTTAAAAAAAAAGATAGTTAACATATCTTAACAGAGCTTCCTTTTGAGGGAAAACCATAAATCTTTTGGCTATAAAGAAAATACTCCTTGATAGGACTTCAAATTTACCTTTCTCATATAAACCTGTACATACATGTGAGGTGCATTTTGGGAATGATTTGGATTTTGTTTTGTTGTAATAGCACCAATATAGATAACTGCAAATCAGTAAGAAAAACCTAAAGAATGTGTAAAATACTGATGAAGAGTGGAGAAATGTCAGGGTCAAGAAGACATCTGGTGAGCTCAATCTGCGAGATAAGCATATCTCAGGTGGGGACAGGCCCTGCAACCTCAACACAGGGATTGAGAAAACAGAAAGTGAGAGCCATAGCACTGAGGAAGCAACAGAAGAGAAACCTAGGGAGAGGATGGAGAAGGGGTTCTGCGCTATGGGGAAAACAGATGCACCATGGGGGACAGACCTCTTGCACTCCTCTGGTTTGCTCAGTCCTTCATCTAAACCTCAAGTTGCACAAACTGCAGTACTGTGGCCTTGCTGATAGGACCTCTTGTCTCTTCTGGGGGTGCTTCTCAAGCAACAGTTTAAAGATCTGGTTATCAAGTATGAAAGAGATGATAATACCTACTCTACTTCATATTTCCTGTAGTGTTAAACCATGAAGGGGCTGAGAACCCCTGCACTGAGACACTAGGGGCTGGAGATGCATCTCTCTCTCTCTCTCTCTCTCTCTCTCTCTCTCTCTATTCCGGAAAATAAAAAGAGAGGTAGTGGATAAAAGTTTCCTTCTTTCATCAAAGGCTAGCCATACTCCACATCAGCCCTCCTCACCCATTTCTAGGAACAAACTTTGAAATCTTACCTTCCAGACTATGACAGCAATTGCAAAACCTATCAACATACGGTAACAAAAAATTAGACTCACCAAGATCAAGATGAACACCAGGGACAAATGAATTGAGAAAGAACATGAAGATAACAAATCCCAACACCATCAGGCATTTGGTGAGCAGAATCTTGTCTGATATCCTGTGCTGTGAGAGAGGAAAATGCAACTCATTTACTGGGTACTATCTTCTATTTCCTGCAATACGTCCATCATCCTACATAACTTGAATTACTACAAATTTCTCCTGAAGATTAAAAATATAACTTCTTGAACTTGAAGGAAGATGATAAGGTAATTCATTACAAGGAAGACTGTATAGATTTGGGATTACAGCATTCAAAACCTGTATTAAAAAATAAACACAATAAATTTAAAATATAGTATAGGAGTGCCTGGGTGGGTCACTCTGTTAAGCAACTATCTTCAGCTCAGGATCCTGGGATCAAGTCCCATGTGGCTCCCTGTTCAGAGGAGAGTCTGCTTCTCCCTTTCCCTCTGCTCCTTCTCCCTACCCATTCTCTCTCCCTCTGCTTCTCAAATAAGTGAATAAAATCTTTATATATATAAAACACCTGGCTAAATAGCTTCTCAACATGATGCAGAAAGTGCTCCCAGCCTCACCACAAGCAGTAGGTGAGATCTTGGCCAATCACTGAGGAAATAATATATGACTTCCAAGGATCTGGCCATGCATTTCCACAGGTGCTACATGCTCATATCCTTTTAATTCAACTATTCTATTACACAAATCCCTGCTCATGGTGGCACTGAGGTTAACATGTTCTTACAATAACATGACTCCCACTAAAGGTTCTTACTGTATCCTTTCATGTTCAGAGAGACCCTAAAAGGCACTTGGCAATGCCCTAATCACCAAAATGACATCCATTGGAAACTCAAAAGCTGTTCATGGCTAAGGGGAGGTGCCAGAGGGCTCTATAGTACCTTCATTAACCTCAGAGATGCAGACCTCGTTGCAGTGCATCTGAGCCACAGGGGCAAGATAGGGCAAGGTCTCCAGAGGCTGCTGGGCTCTGAGGCCACAGCTGTGTGGAGTTAGGGAAGGGAGCACAGTCCCAGAAAACCTGTACAGAAGGGCACTGAGTAATCCTGCCCCACCAATCAGGCCCCTATATGAATCGTACTCCACCACGTGAACTAACAACTGTGCCATGTCCTTTCTTAAACGTAGTCCCACTAGCACATCTGTCTGTCTACATCTGTGTCTATCTAGAATTAGATAGAAGTATAGATATGGGTATAAATATGGATATAGGGAGAGACAGAGACAGATACTTATGGGTATGCACATGGATAGAGATAGAGACAGAGTTAGAGATAGATGATACAGGTATAGTTATAGAGACAGAGAGACAGATGTGTGTATAGGTATATATAGATTTTTCTCTCTGGATTTCTCTGGTCATGCAGTTAGAGATGCTGCCATAAAAACCACAAGCATATTCCTCCAGTTTACACTGGCTCTGGCTGCAGCCCCCAGCACCCTGCTCACAGATCATGTGGGCCATCTCCTGAACATCTGTCCTCCTTCCTCACCTACTGCCTAAGCTTGTGGCTCAACTGGCCACAAGCCAATTCATCTTCCTCTTCCCACCTCCAAGGAAGGCCAATTTGCCAGATGAGTCTGTGATGGTGAATTAGGAAGAAAAGGGCATGGGCATCTCACCTCTTGTGAGGGGAAACACTACATAACTTCTGTGCAGCCATGTTAATCATAGAAAATGGGTATTTTCATGGGCAGTTCCAGAATTGGAAATGGACTGAGCAGGCAAGTCAAAGAACATTCTAGCATCACTTGCCTGGGATAAGTGGGAATGATCCAAAGTTTGTGCTTATCTGTTATTCTGGGTGTTTGTCAAATTTTCTCCTTTTGGCTACAGGAAGCTATCACAGTAAGAACTCTTACATATTATAAGCTCCTTGCTTGTCCATTCCACCTCTCCTCAATCCTTATCCACCAGGTATACGGAGAGGTACACAATCTCTTCCCTAACTCACAGCTAGCACTACACGGTCTAGCAAAGCAGGCAGTGTCTGCATAAGCCTGGGGTCCAGAAAAGTGTCATAGCTACACCCTTCTTTCCTAACCCTAACCATCTCGGAGATTGGGAAGACAGGCCCAAAGAACACATTACCCACCAGGACCTCATATCCAAATTTCCTTTAAAAAGGGACAAAATGGGGATCCCTGGGTGGCGCAGCGGTTTGGCGCCTGCCTTTGGCCCAGGGCGCGATCCTGGAGACCCGGGATCGAATCCCACATCGGGCTCCGGTGCATGGAGCCTGCTTCTCCCTCTGCCTATGTCTCTGCCTCTCTCTCTTTCTCTCTCTGTGACTATCATAAATAAATAAAAATTAAAAAAAATTTAAAAAGGGACAAAATGTTCTTACCATAATAAGAAAGTGGATACTCACCCTCTCCCTGCCCCCCAGGAAAGAAACTATCTGGATTCAAAAGTTCACAAAGATACAAATATCTCAAAGCAGATCTGGAGCAGAGTTTTCTCGGCTAGGAGTGGCTAGGAGAAGGGCACTATGTGTCCTCAGCTACACTAAGAAAGTCTGTGAAGGCAGGAAAATTAGCAATAGGACCCAAAAGTCAGAGTCCACCAGAAGGAGAACCATATGACAGAACACACACATACACTTCATCTCTGTCCCAAACACTTCTCCATCTCACACAGCATGCCTCACCTGAGTCAGCCTCCACAATCTCATCCACACAATGGGAACCACAAGACTTGCCTTTTAGGATCAAGGTCTTCAAGAGCCTGAGGCACCCAGCCAACTTTCTCTGCAGCCAAATTAACCTTAGGAAGGGCCATCCAATCTTAAAGGGCTAGAAAAATTTTGACTTTTCAATTTCTGACAAAGTAAGCCTACCATGTCAGGGAAATGATTTTCCCATTAACTATTAGAAATAACTTATGCCTTACATACAACTACAGGAATAAAAAGAGAAATTACTTTCAGTCTTAACTTTGTGTGAAACAAGAGGTAAATCAGAAACCCTTAAGAGAAGAAACCACAATACCTTTTTTTGTAGTTCCTGGATATTGGTCTCCCAATTTTTATCTTCCTGTGAGATTTGTCTAAAGGAGAAAAAGGCAGACTCATTATTTTCATAGTGATATAGGGCAGCAACCAGCAGCACATTTAGCATGGACCTCTGGCCCGGATACCACCCACTAAGTCACACCTGAAGTAGTCACGTAATGGTGCACACCGAGTCACAGAAGGTGACCAGTGGAGCTGGGTTTATGGATTGGGAAAGATACTCCATCTATATTTCCAAAGAAAAGTAACACAGGAAATGAATGGAATGTTAATGAGGTATGTGAAGGCATATGTATGTGTGAGCGTGAGTTCAGAGAACATCAGAAGAACACTGACCAAAATGTGAACAAAGGGAATAATGATACGCTACTTTTGTATATCTCTTCTTACTTTCTACTTTTCTACACTTTTTTTTTTCAAAATGAGGTCATGCTATATTTATAACTAAACTAATGGAAAAAAATAGTAAAAGAAATACCACTTGCTTTGGTGGTGATTTTTATCAATTAGAACAGTGGAGAATTTAATTTTAATGAGCACTAGCATGTCATAAGTATCAAAGGAGGCTGATCACACAGCCAGAACATACCCTAAAAGAAATCACAGCAGACCCAGGTGAATCCTGAGGACAATTTTTTAAAAGAATATGTAAAAACAAGACCTGCAGGGCCATCACTTGCCTTAGATCATCTTCATTCTACTCAGCTCGTCAGTGGCTGTGTGGCTTTGCAAAGCCACTACCATCTTCAGGCCCTAGTTTTTCTATCTGTGAACAACACAGGATGAGCTGATAGAAACTGGTGAACCTCAGAGCCCATGTTTCCTCACATTTGTAACCCTGAGATACACCTCACAACAGACAAAGGATGTTGAAGCTTGAAAGTCAATGGGTCAATCGCTCAATACATTTAGAGCAATTTACTCCTGCATCTTTAATTTACAAAGTTTCTCCTTTTAAGAAAAAAACTGAATGGAAAGTCATCGGAGAGGAAGAAAAACCATGAGAGACTCTTAACTATAGGAAACAAACTGAGAGTTGCTGGAGGGGAGGTGGGTGAGGGGACGGGGTAACTGGGTGACAGGCATTAAGGAGGGCATGCGATGTGATGAGCACTGGGTGTTATATGCAACTGATGAAACACTGAACACTACATCAGAAACTAAGTATGTACTATATGTTGGCTAATTGGATTGAAAATCAATCAATCAATCTCTGCCTGTTGCTGAAGTTGGTCCCTGGCCTGCAATTCAGGGTCCTCCTGGAGCCTCAGGACCTTTTTACCCAATGCCACCTGGTGGAGATGGGTCCTGGGCTGGGATGGAGCTGAGACATTGCTTTGCCCTGGCTGCCTCTCTGGAGAGAGTGAGTCACCACGGGCTCACCTGTGGCCCTTTCCCTCCACAAACAGAACAGGCTATGAGACAGCCATACTGGATGATTCTCAAGAGTTGGCGCTGGCACCACACCCAGCTCCTATCCTCAGCCTGGGAACACAGGGCTGGTTCCAGCAAAGTGCAACATGGAAGATCATTTACACTACATTCACAAGGATTCAAACTTCCCTTGCCTTGACACATTTCTCATCTCTGCCCAGTTCCCAGCTCTGTAGCAGTAATGCTTCAATGTTCCAAGAGGTGGACATGCTCCTGCTTTCCCCATCAGCACTCCCAAAGTGAAGACAGGTTGGAAGTCAGCATTTCATCAGAGTTGGAAGGAAAAACTCACCACTCCATTACCTTTTACATCTCAGCTTTGATTGAAAGCAAATGACAGGAAATGAATTGAGAAGGACTTAATTATTTTTTGAAGTCCCTGAAAATCAATTACTAGGAGAGTATTTTGTTAGATTCATTTGTTATGCTGTTTTTTATTTTTATTATGCAACAAATGTTATGTGTGGAAGTGCAACAGGCAGGGGTTCAGTGTGGATTCAATCCCTGGTGTCACTTTTTCCTTGCTGTGTAATCCTGGACAAGTTGGTCAAATTCTCTGAGCCTCAGTTTTCTCATCCTGAAACTATCCCAGAAATTCTAGTAAGGGTTAGATAAAATAATGTACCACAAGAGACTTACACAGTGTATATTGCCCAAAACGTACCCACTGGCATAAAGGTAGAGTTACAGTTTTAGAGAACGTGTCAACAAAGAGTAGTCCTAGCAGGGCCCTGGCTTGGTACCTGTGGAAGGTGTGCAGCCTTCGGGCCAGCAGGTGCTCCAGTGCCTGCACCTTCCCCAGGAGCAGGCCCCGAACCGCTGTCTCCTCTCGGCTGGCTGGGCTGATGCGCTGTGCGGTCAGGCGCCAGACATGGATCTCATGCTTCAGTTCTGTAGGAAAGGAAAGATGAGGCTTGAGTCTCCCACAACCTCAGACACCAGCAGGCATTCCACCCTCCTCACCATCTTCCAAGACCAGGAAAAACATACCTGATGATGCACAGATAACCAAGGGCCAAATCAAAGCAATAGCTTCTTAGCATTCATGTTATTGTAATGGAACCAGGAGACAAAGCCCACATTAAAAAATTACCATGGATGCAAAGTAATGTGATTTGGGCAAAAGATAAATTCTTGAATATACATATCAATGCTAGCCCCTAAGAACCTTTTCCCCTCCCAGGAAATTACTTCTTGCAGCCAGAAGTTTGGGTCTCTCCGTTAAAATCCAGGCATTGAAAACAGATCTAGTGAACATTGGAAATACAAGTGTAATTCTCAGCAGGAGGGCATGTAGCTAAAGCAGGAGGTAGGGAATGACTTCCCTTCTGACTAGGCCTCCAAACTGAGCTTGTTGTCCATGAAAGAACACAGCTGAGAGACATAGACAACTTTATGAAATGCTCAAGTTAATATAATGAGGCAAATTTCACCCACAAATGAATTCAGGCATCTTCTGGTATAGAAGAGTAGAGAGAAGGGAATTGTCAATCTATTGACCCCTAAAGTATCAAAATATTTCATGAAAATTTGCATTTAACCTCTATTTTACAGTTAAAGATGCTACATAAATTTATCAAAATATCCACCAAAATAATACAAGGAAGCATGGTATTTTTATGAATCACCTCTTATGTGCAAAGTACTATACCACATATTACAAGAGTTCAAGATGAAATTAAAAGACAGATCCCTTTCTCAAGCAGGAGCACTTGACAATGAGCTCAGAGAAGAGGTGTATGGCAGAGTGATTATCCAAATCCTGTGAAGTAGCTCGTACTTGTGGGTTCAATGACTAGGAAAATACCATCTTTTATGCCCCTTCTATTCAGTAAACAAGTGTTGACCACCTACTATATGACAGACCTGTTATAAATGCTGAGAAAACAAGTATGAGCTAGGCAGAAACACAGACTGCAAATAAAGTGTGTCAAGACTCACAAAAGAGAATCAAGAGAGGATAGGGGCACTAAAACCATTTCAGTTAACACATGATTTTCTCTAAAGCCTCAGCCTTACAAAGATGAAAACCTTTTAGTACTAAGATATGGATTGTGCTTTCATTCAGTACATATTGTTACTTTGCAGCAAAGAAACTCAACATTAAAAGGAGGAGGAGAAAACCGAAAAAACTAAGCTCCTGAAACAATGAGCCAAAAACACCACACAGGGACAAGAATAGGGAGATGAGACTATGCTGTCTCAGTGGATGTCCACATAGTGCCAGTGTTTCATCCAATGCTCTGAACTACATTACACAGAAGATATCATTCAAAGCCCATCCATTAGAAAGCAAGAAAGCAAGAAAGAAAGGACAAGAGAAAGAAAGAAAGGCTATCCATAAAGTACAGAGACTTACCAGCCAGTCTTTCAAGGCATGCTGGTGATAGACACTTCTCCAAGTGGCTGATCAACTTAAAGAGCTAAACAAGAGCATGGCTAGTTTCTGGGGCTAATCCATGGGGTGCAGGCTGGGAGTCCTCTCCCTATCTGTGTGTGGAGAAGCAGAGCCTGGGAGCCACTGCTGCTTCTGTGAAAATGCTCTGTCAGGTCCCCAGGCTCCTTTCTGCAGGTGTCCTCTCCTGAGACGACTTCAGCCCCCTCATACACACCCAGAGCCTAGCTGCCTTCTAACCCATCAAATCAAACAGGTGGAGCTATTCTCCTCAGCAAAACCCACGCATTAATGTTCAGGTACTGTACTTTTGTTCTATTTTTTTTTGTTCTCCTAATTTTTGAATGAAAGACATTATCAACTAGCAGGGAATTTAGTTGAGAGATTTTGCCCAATGAAAAGAAGCTCATTGCCTGCACCCAGAACTCAGTTTACCCAAGCGTATTTGTTCCTCAGTTCCCAGGCTTCCTCCACACTTCTACCATTTCCCTACCCTGTGATCTCTGCTAAGCTCTAAGACCATGGTTTCAGTGGGCTACTTGATATTGTTCTCTGCTGCTTGTGCTGCCAAGGTTCAAAGATAAACATTCTATCTTCTCCCTACAAAACTCTCTCCCCTCACTTTCTTCATTTTTATATGACATCATTAATCTTCCAGGTACATGAGCCTGAAATGTCATTTCGGTCTTATCAGTGCCACTCTCCACTATTTTTGGGTGAACATTACTGGGCATGTATAGGTGTCAGATAACATGCTAGATGCTAAAGGAGAAAAATTTATAAGTTACAAGATGAGTCTCTAACAAGATAGAAAGAAATATAAGCTCTATCATAAGTAAACATGAGCCAGGGCAATACTGTTCACAAATGGAGTTTGGGATAAACTGGTATGGTTCTTATAGGATCCACCTGTTCCTACCCCAGGTCACTAGCTTATCTAGGCCTCATATTCTCACACTTGGTGATTCTGATTGTTCCGCAGTAACCTCTGACTGGAGTCACTTCCTACCAATCCACCCATGGTTAGTCATAAATAGATAGTTATATAAGTAGATATAAAGAGAAATCTATGTTCCTACTTACCTATCTTCTAGGAAGATAAATCTATCTAGACTGATACATCTAGAAAGATGGATAAATGTGGGCAGACAGATAGATAGGTTCCTTCTTTCAAATATCCATTGATTCCCCATGGCTTGCAGAATAAAGCCAAAGATCTTTAGGGAAGATCAAGATCTTCAAAAGGTAAGCACTACTGTGAACTCTGATCTTGCTGTATAAGCTCTTACCTTTGCCATACTGGCCTCTGACCAGGAGACATCATTAGATGTCTCATCTCCACCTCTCTGATTACCTCTAGCCCCTATCTTCCTGAGCTTCTCAATGAAGCTCCTATAGCATTACTTGAGGTTATTGTATACCTGGGGAAAAAAAAAACAGGCAAAGACATTACCATGTAGGATATATTCTCTCTCCCAGGAGGTGGTGGCTGCCAGAAAGCCTAGAGGAGGGTCATCCAGCTCCAAGTGATGAATCTGAGGGGAAGATGCCCAGGCCAGGAGTTGAGGAATGGAATTCTACTATTACAAGACTCTGTTTGTGTTAAGCAGTATAATATCAATTGAAGTTAGTGGTATAAACTATCACTAAACTCACAAAACACAACTATAGCCAAAATGTAACAGAAAAAAGAAGAGGTAAATGAAATATTTTTGAAATAATTAATTCAAAAGAAGGCATAAAATTAGGGAAAAGGGGATAAAGAAAAGAAGGCACAAATAGAAAACATGATGATACACTTAAATTTAACCATATCATGAATCATGTTAAATATAAATAATCTAAACATACCAATTAGGGGACAGAGATTGTCAGATTGGATAAAAAAGCAGACTCAACTGCTAGCTACTTGCAAGAAATGCACTTTATATATAAAGACACAGTGAAAGGATGGAAAAGATATGCTATACTACCACTAGTGAAGAGAAAGCTGGAATTGCTACATTAACAAAATTGATTTCAGAGCAAGAACATGATTATGGATAAGGAAGGTTATTTTATAATGACAAAAGTGTTAATTCTTCAAGAGGAAATAACAACCCTAAATGTTTATGTACCCTAATAACAGAACTTTGAAATATATAAAGCAAAAATCACATATCTGCACAGAGAAATAGACAAATCCACAATCATAATTAGAGATTTCTATTTCCATCTCTTGATAATTGATAGAACAAATGGATAGAAAATAAAATACAGAAGACCTGTTGGTTGCATTATCAGCCAACTTGACCTAACTGACCGTACTGACAAAACCCCACCAAAACAGCAGAATACATATTCTGTTCTGTTGCACATGGAATGTTTATAGGGCTAAACATTTAATTCTAGCCATAAAACAATCTTAAGAATTTTAAAAGGATTCGAGTTTTACCACATATAGTCTCTGATATAGGTAACTGCAAAATACCTAAATATTTCCTAAATAAGCCATCTAAAATATCTAAGGATCAAAGAAATCAAAGGGGAAATCAGAAAGTAATTAGAACTGAATGGAAATTAAATAAAACATATGAAAACTGGTGGCAGGTCACTGAAATAGTACTTAGAAGGAAATTTAGAGCACTGAACACCTGTGTTAGAAAAGGAAGTATATATAAAATAATCTCAACCTCTACTTTAAGAAACTAGCAAAAGAATCAGCCCAAAGTAAGCAGAAGTAAATAAATATCAGAGTAGAAATCACTAAAAGAGAAAAAAATGTAGAGAAAATCTTTATAATTAGAAGCTGTTTCCTTAATATCAACAAAATTAATCAACTCTTACTAGACCATTCAGAAAAAAAGCAAAGACACAAGTTACCAATATCAGAAATGAGAGATTACATGATCAAAAATATCCATTAAAAGGATAATGAAAGAATATTATGAACAACTTTAGAATAATTCTTTCAACAACTGAGATACAATAGATAAACTCCAAGGATCCCTGGGTGGCTGAGCGGTTTAGTGCCTACCATTGGCCTAGGGCATGATCCTGGAGTCCCTGGATCAAGTCCCACATCGGGCTCCTGCATGGAGCCTGCTTCTCCCTCTGCCGGTGTCTCTGCCCCTCTCTCTCTCCCTCTCTCTCTCTCTCTCTCTCTCTCCCTGTGTGTGTGTGTGTGTCTCATGAATAAATAAATATTTTTTAAAAACACAATAGATAAACTCCTTAAAAGACATAAATTACCAGTAATCACTTAAGAAGAAATAGGATAATCGTAATAGCTAGCCCTAAGTCTATGAAGGATTTTGAGTTTGTAGTTAAACCTTTCCCCCACACACCCCACACACATACATCCAGGTCTATAAATGTCCTAACAAACATTTAAGGGGATAGTAGTAGCAATTCTATACCATCTCTTCCAAAAATCTGAAGAGGAGGGTGTGATTCTGTACTCATTCTATGAGGACAGCAAAAAAGACATTACAAGAAAGTAAACTCTACACCAGTATCCCTAATGTACCCAGACACAAAAATTCTATACAAAATATAAACAAGAAGCAACTTAAGCTGATATCTGGTGAACAGGAGGACAGACTGGTGGTTATTTGTGCTTTTTTGCCAAACAAGTCATGTTCTTTTCCTTTTTTTTTTTTTTGAAAGATTTTATTTATTTATTCATGACAGAGAGAGAGAGAGAGAGGCAGAGACACAGGCAGAGGGAGAAACAGGCTCCATGCAGGAAGCCTGATGCGGGACTCAATCCTGGGTCTCCAGGATCACACCCTGGACTGAAGGTGGCGCTAAACCACTGAGCCACCCAGGCTAATCAGTCATGTTCTTTTCCATTCTGGGCCCTTCCTAGGTTGATTCATCCTGGCCCCGTGACCAGTGGGGCCTAGTGACAATCAAGATGACAAGCTATGAACAGAGGCATCCCGTATCGGTCAAGAATGGAGCGGAACAAGTGGTTCTCTCTACTTTGATGATCAACAGCTCAGGGCTCTGAGAACCAATGACAAGCAGGGTACTCCCAGTGCACAGGGGCAATGAAGCCAAAAGGAGGAAAAGAACAGCGCTTTGCAATTCACTGAGATTTCAGGGTTACTTTTTTTTTACTGCAGCATAACCAAACCTGTTCTGACAAATGCTCTAGATGCCACTAAAGACTCACTGAACCCAAATCTCTAGGATAGGGCCTGGGAAACTGCAGTTATAATAAGCATGCTAAAATTGGAGAGCCCTATGATCCACAGTGGCCCAGAGCAATTGCCCTGACTGCACAGCTCTGTGCTGATTTACAGCTTGTCTTGGGATTGGCATAGGGTTTCAGCATCATCCAAGTCCCAACCATTTCTTCCCACTTCCCTCAAATGTTTCTCAACTCCCTACTCAGGAAGAGTGGAGAAGTTGATTAGACAGATTTGTTTCATATACTTCTAAATCTGTGTATCCTAAATTCATGTCAAGATAGCATTCTCCAGAAGAGCTTATTAACAGCACAGAATTCCTGGGGGTGGGCCTGCTAATGTAAACATATAACAATTGTTCTCAGGTCGTTCTGATCATCAGGGAAGTTGGGCGAGAAGCTAGCATAACAGGACAAGATAACTTTCTAACTCTCCACTGAGATACAGCTACACCTGCACAATCAAATTGTTATTGACTGATTATCCATTGTGATCACAGTTTCCTTAGCTCTCCACTGGTGTGACCCTTTCCATCAGAAAACTAAAACTAAATATTAAGTTATCAGATTTTACACATACTAGTTGATGGCAAAACATTCTGAATATCTCTAAATGGGTTTTATGGATTGTATTATGTCCCCCCCCCCAAATTCATGTGTTGAAGTCCTAATCCCCAAGACCTATGAATGTGATTTTATTCAAAAATAGGGTTGTTGCAGGTGTTATTAGTTAAGGTGAAATCATTAAAGTGGCCACAAATCCAAGATGACTAGTGTCCATATAAATGGGGGAAATGTGAACACAAAAACACACAGGGAGAATGTCACATGAACATGAATATGGCCATCTAAAAGCCGATGAGATAGGCCTGGAAGAGATTCCTCCACTTGGTTGGTTGGTTGAGCCAATCAACCTTGCACGCACTTTGATTTTGGACTTCCAGCCTACAAGACTGTGAAAAATAAGCCACCTCTTCTGGCCTATGAAGTACTCTTAGCATCTGTGGAAATAATCCATCTGTTGTTTAAGCCGATCAGTCTGTGGTACTTCGTTACAGCAGTCCTAGAAAACTAATACATTGGTCAATGGCAAAAATGGATCAAGGCATCTCACCGCCAGAAATATCTTTTAAAAAAAAGTCAATTTTGACTAAATTCTTCTTCAAAATAGGGAAGCAATGGGATTATATATAGTTTCTTCCATTATAAAGCTGTAAGAGAACAGCAGGATCTGGGACTCTTTTTTTCTCAAGAAAGGCACATCCTGCTCTATAGACCATCACAGATATGGAATTATCAATGCCATCAGGAAAATACAGTCTTTCTCCAAAATAAGTAAACTATGCTACATCAGCAGGAAGCTATTTCAACCTTGCAGCCAAAGGAACTATTCTATTTGGCCCCCAAAATCTGTGTGTGCACCTGCTCTTCCCTCCTGTACCCTATGCTGGGTTTACCCCCCCCCCCCAAAATTAGGTCCATGGGTGGGGACCATGCCAATCCAACTGCCCCATGAACAGCTGAAGCACAGGGAGTGTGCCCACTTGTCCTGCACTTACATCCCCTTCACTTGGGACTAGGCTGAGTGGGCACTCAGAAACTCCTTATTGCTTGATCATGTTTAAAGTACCATTTCTAGAAACACCTGGGTGGCTCAGCAGTTGAGTGCCTTGCCTTTGGCCAGGGGCGTGATCCTGGAGTCTCAAGATTGAGTCCCACATCAGGCTCCCTACATGGGCCTGCTTCTCTCTGTGTGTGTGTCTCTGCCTCTCTCTTTTTCTCTATGTCTCTCATGAATAAATGAAATCTTAAAAAAATAAAAAAAATATTTAAAGTACCATTTCTATATCCACAAGGATGCTTCAATACTTTGTGCATGTGGTTAATAAGTATTGCCTAACATAGAAATTTCTGATTATCATTCCATTTCTCTGGGAGAGGTGGGTGACTAAATTTTACTAAGAACAAGCTTGGTTTTATATAGATGACTCTTGAGAGGGTATATAAGACAATGTTTTCCAAACTAGAACAAAAATAGTCAAACTCTGAATACAAAAGTCATGCATGAAAGAAAGGCAGATCTGCTTTGTACAGTCACCATCTGATGAACAGGAGGACTGATAAGAATACATTTAGATCCTCAGCTTTTCATACAGAAATAGTACTTTTTTTTAATCTTACTAAAGATTAAGAAAACTTGAAGTCCTATACAGTACAAGGATAGAGGAATAACAGGATGAGAGAGGTAAATATACAATTTATGAGCTCTGTGAGGACACCACACCATCTGAAATCACAAAGAAAGAAATGCACCTTTGTCACTGTGTTCCTATCACCCAGTTATGCTCTGTTACCCAGGCAACCTGCACAATGTCCTGTACAGGGTCTGGCTGAGAAAAGGATAGCTGTTTCCCAGATAATCTATTGCTTCTAATATATAGGGATCAGTAATAGTCTCAATAAAACATTTACTAAAATTTTTAAGTAAGGAAAATACAAAGACAAAAGATGGTCATGAACCCTCTTCCTGCTGGCTGGTGCCTCATCAATATATTCTTGATAAACATAGCACAATGTCGGGCAGCCCTGGTGGCGCTGCAGTTTAGCGCTGCCTGCAGCCCGGGGTGTGATCCTGGAGATCCGGGATCGAGTCCCACATCAGGCTTCCTGTATGGAGCCTGCTTTCCCCTCTGCCAATGTCTCTGCCTCTCTCTCTTTCTCTCTCTCTCTCTCTCTCTCTCTCTCTCTGTGTGTGTGTGTGTGTGTGTCTCTCATGAATAAATAAATTTTAAAAATATTTAAAAAAAACATGGTACAATGTCCTCTGTGTTGGATTATGTTACTATTTTTGTAATCACATTTAAACTCAAAGTATGACATATTTGAACACTAGTCTACATGCTTTGCTATTTGTGTTGTATACATGTGGTTTAATGATGTCATAGCATACGAACTATATCCAATGGCCACTGCTTCCCAGATTTCACCCTAAAGAAAATTAAAAAAAAAAAAGGCCATGGATTTAAAGTCCCTGAAAGCACAGAGTATAACAGGAGGCAGACAGGAACATACTGAGTATGCAGCATCCCAGTGACCGACATTTCCCTGATGTTCTAAATGTAAGAAACCTCCTGCCTTTTTTGTGGCAACGTCCTCCGGAAAAAAATATATATTATGATAGTAAATTCTGAGGCTATATGAGATGCTGCTTATACTCACCAACAATCTCACTGGGTTCCTTGTTATAAAGCTTTTTGTTCCAGAAAAGGAGTCTAAGGAGTGGGAAGGAGAATAGGAGAATGAAGCAAATCCCAACGAACATGTGTGCAGTAAATCCTGCGAAGTCCAGGCCCTGGAAATAGGAAAGGGGAAATTAAATGACAAATGGGATTCTCCTCTGTATAGGCATGGCTCCCACTTCAGGATCTTCCAAATGAGAGATCCAGGGAAAGCTGAGCACTAAGACCAGGGGCAGGCATGTCAGAGTAGTGGGTGTTAGCTAGAGGGCCACAGGGCCCAGCATAAAACCCACAAAAGAACAAGTACTCTTCTCTACAATTTTGAAAATGTTTTAGCTTTGTTTCTTTCATATCAATAAACCAAGTCCTACCTGAATAACAAGCAACCTTAGGAGAAAACAAAAACAGGTTATCACAGACAATCTCAACCTTAACTGGGTCTACTTTCACTACTGGATGGACACATTATCCCAGGATGAAAAAAGACAGACGGGGGCAAAACATAAAACTATGTGGCAACATTTGCCTATTTCAAGGTAAGATGTGTCTTTTTAATATTTCATTTAAGTCCCTGCTATCGGGCAGCCCAGGGGCTCAGCAGTTTAGCGCCACCTTTAGCCCAGGGCCTGATCCTGGAGACCCGGGATCAAGTCCCACGTCAGGCTCCCTGCATGGAGCTTGCTTCTTCTTCTGCCTGTGTCTCTGCCTCTCTCTGTGTGTGTCTCTCATGAATAAATAAATAAAATCTTTAAAAAAAAATAAGTCCCTGCTATCAATGTGAAAGAACATCCTTGGTTGATGAGCACAGCCCTCTGCAGGGTGGCTAAAGGCCATTAGGAGTGAGGAGGCCCAGAATGTCCCTACTGGCCATAAGGTCCCAGGCAGGTGCTTCTCCCTCCCCTCATACTTCCTTTGCCCCTCTGCAGAACTATTTGTCATGGTCAGCTGCTGAGGACGTCTCTGCTTTAGGATAAAAATCCCCTACTAGCTTAATCTGTCAGGGATTAAGTCAACAGCATCATTGGCTGATTTTGTCTGTCTTTTACTCTGTGCTTATACAGGTGATCCCTGAATGTAATTAATACTGTTTGAAGGAAGGTCCCCACAAAGGCAGAGGTGTTTGTATCCTGAGTAATTCTGGGCCCTTTTTTGCACATATTAACTATAATTTTTTGTCCTGTTAGAAATGATGGGACAATTGAAAAAAAAAGTGATGGGTAGATTAAAGAAAGAAAAGGACTAAGGGGCTCCTGGGAGGGGCTCAACAACAAAAAAACACAGCTTTGAGGGGAAGTATGTGGTTGCTAGTAGAGTTGTAATGGGTGGATTTATCAAGTGAGAACAATGCAGAGTGTGGGAAAATCCCAGCTGAAAATTTTAAGAAATAATATAGGCAGATGCAATGTATCATGGGATGTGAATATTTTCACTAAGTTTATTAGGTGCATGTGTTTGGGCCTTCCGGCTTTACAAGCCTCTGTACCTTCCTACGCTTTCTCCTTAATGTCGTCAGTAACAAAACCACCCACTATTATACTTGCATCAATATAATGCTTAAATGCACCCTTTTCTTGCAAGGTGCTGGTTCTATTTTGCCCCTTTCAGTCTTATTTTGTACTTTTTTGGTTTTTCTCCACTCAGATACTCTCTGCTTAATTTTTTCACAAAGCCCTCATTCAATAGTGGAAGTGGTCAAAATTTGAGGCATGTAAAACAATGAAAACAGGATTCCCCCAAAATCAGATAAGAACATCCATAGCTGCATAAACTACATATATCCAAGGGGAATCCAGCTGAGCAACTTCTGGTGCACCAATATCACCTTCTAGGGAAGATACCCTCAGACTAACTCTGGAACAAGTCAGAACAGTCAACTGAGTTATAGTAGGGCTTAGCTGAATCCACCGAATATTTTAGTAAATATCATGGTATGATCTGAAGATAGAATCAAGTCTGGATACTCAACAAGGAAAAGACCCCCAGTGTTATATGAGTGGGTATGATAACAGGAGGGATCTGATGTGGGACATCCTGCATGTGAGGGATACTTCAAGTATGTGGAGGAGAAGTCATAAAATACATGCATCTGAAGGAAGCACAAACCTTCCATGTTCTGCAGAAATGTGGAAGTGGGTGATCCCAGTACACAGAAAACAGCAAGCCATAGAGGGCATAAGCTCCACTACAGAATGCTGACCCAAGAGGAAAGATGGTCAAAAAAGCAGAACCCCAAGACCCACAGAAATTGAAGAGCCATGTGGAAGCAGAAATCCCACAACAGAGACTAAGTGGAAGTGACCAGAAGAAAGACCAGGAAGCAGCAGAGAGTGATACCATCAAAGTTGTCAGCTGATTAAGTGGAAGAAAACCATGGTGAAGAGCAGCAAAAGAACACCCAAGCATGGATAGCATGTGGTGGGAAAACCAAGGGAACATCCCAGTGTACACATCTCTGGGGCACCATTGGAAAAGCCTTCCTCTGATCTGTGAGTTGTCATTCAGAAGTACAGGGACATGGCTCCCCTAAACAAATTTTTCAACTATTATTTAAAAAATAGTTAAGGGGTGCCTGGGTGGCTCAGTCAGTTAAATATCCAACTCTTAATTTCAGCTCAGGTCATGATCTCAAGGTCTTGATATGGAGCCTACTTAAGATTCTCTCTCTCCCTTGGCCCCTCACTACTCTAAAAAAAAAAAACCAAAAACAACAACAACAAAAAGCAATAGCCCCGTTCACCACTGGTGAGTCTCCCTAGGACAGGCATAAAGAAGTAAATGTAACTAGCAAAGGAGGATTATATCCCCATCAGCCTGTTAGGAGATGAAGGGACAACACACTATTGGTCATGGAATCCTATAGTGTAGGAGGACCCTGGAAGTCTTCCCCACCTATGTGTTCAGTACTGGAAAACCTGCCAGTAGAGAACCATCCCAAGGAATCTGGGAGGAGTGAACAGAGTGTAGAAAAGATATGGTGGAAGAACTTTCCTCCTAACTTCCTGTATTATCTTCCTAATCCTCAGAGAATGTGGAAGAATTTCTTTACTGTTCCAAAGTCCAGTACTGATTTGTTTGTTTTTATTACTTCTCTAAACTACTTAACTTTCTTCATGAATATTTTTAAAATTAATTTCACAATTTTTATTTTATAATCTTTTTTCTTTCTAATTCATTTCCTGGATGAACAACAAAATAATGCAAAATAAGTGTGCACAAAAATGTATGGTTGTGCTGTCATTGGTAATGAGGCTTTATAAATTAATCTCTGCTGCAGACACTATCCCTGGAACTATGAATTCATTTGCATTCTCTATACAAATAAGTATTCTCTTATCTCTAAGCTACAATAAAATAAATTAAAACCACTCTTGATTATCCATTAAAGGACATTCATTAATTACATTTTCTGTGAGATACATTTTAATCCCAAAATTCAAAGAAAATCATTAAGTGGAAGACAAGGAACTCCATCTTCAATAAATTAAGGAGAACCGTAAGGCCATGTTCCCAGAGGATGTCACTTTGGCACAAAGCTGTGTGAAGAGCTTAGGCTGAGCCTCATGCAGAGTGAGTGCTCACCTTAAGGGCCCTCTGTGTATTTTTGCAAAAACTTCACCTTTATCCCCTACTGCCATATTTAAATTGTGGATATGTACAACAGCATGTCAGCATATAATGGAGGAATATGGGAATAGTTTGATGGACTGCTCTTTTTCTTTAGCTGTCTATAGACTTGGTAGAGGCCCAGGACTCTTGGGTCACATTCTACTGCTTAGGTGAGAGCGGATTTAGGTGAGAGAGGATTCCAAGGGAGTCCTAAGGGAGGACTTAAAATAATGCATGGTTAACTCGGTTTATGCCCAAGAAGGGCATCATCCTTGGGATTTTACATTAATACTAATGTGATCCTGGCCAGGGACAGCTAAGCTGTTGCATTAATTCATTAACATTGCATCAATGTTCTTAATTCATTAAGAAGAAGAAAAAAGAAGAGATGAATAACAGAAACTGAAAGTTCTAAAAAGAGCCTAATGAAATACAGTAGTCATACTCTCACTTGGACTATTTCTATATCTATTCTACTACAAATTGTTTTCTATTTGAACCCTTAAGATTTTAGAGTTTATATTTATGTATGTAAGCCATTTTTTAGTTAATTTTTGGGTAAAGTGGGAAGCGTGGACTGATGCTCATTTTTCCTACATATGAATGTCCATTTGTTCTAGGACCATTTGTGAAAAAAAATAATCCTATCTTCACTAAATTGGCTTTCCACCTTTGTCAAAAGCATTTGTTCACCTATGTGGGGGTCTGTATCCAGACTCTCTACTTTTTACCTATTCACCTGCAGTGATGCCAATACCACACTGTCTTGGCTTTTGTGGCTTTTATAGGAAGTATTGGAAATAGGTAGCACTAGCTCTCCCATTTTGTTCTTCCCATTAAGAGTTATATTTTGAAAAAAAAATTTTTTAAAAAGAGTTATATTTTGGCCATTCTGAACACTTTAATTTCCATATAAATTTTAGAATCAGTTTGCCAATTGCTATCAAAAACAACAACCCTTGGTTTTGGGTTTGACAGGGATTGCTCAAATCTGTGGATCAATCTGGGAATAACTGATATATTAGCCACACTGGGTCTTCTGATCCATGAACCAAATATCTCTCTCCATTTAATTAGATCTTCTTTAATTACTCTGCAATGTTTTGTAGTTTTTAGCATATAGGTCTTGCATATGTTTGGTCAGATTTACCCTAAAGTATTTTATATATTGATGCTAATTTCCAATTGTTTATTACTAGAATATAGAAAATCACTAATTTTTCTATATTTATATTGTATTGCACATTTATCAAATTTACTTATTACTTCTAGAAGCTTTTTTGCAGATTCCTTCAGACTACCCACGTGGACAGTCATGTCATCTGCAAATAAAAACTTTTTAAGTCTTCGTTTCTGATATGGATGCCTTGTATTTCTTGCCTTATTGTTTCAGCTAGAGCCTCCACTAAAATATTACATTGAAGTGGTGAGAACAGACATTTTTGTCTTGTTTCTGATTTAAGGAAGAAAGCATTCAGTTTTCACATTTAAGTATGACACTAGCTATAGTGTTTCCATAGATGCTCCTTATTAGGCTGATGAAGTTCTCTTATTTTTCTAGTTTATTGAGAGATTTTAATCACTAATGGATGTTTGATTTTGCCAGTTATTTTTCTGCATCTATTGAGATGATCATATGAATTTTCTCATGTAGTTTGTTAGTAAATTGCATTGATTGGCTTTTTAAATATTACAAATTCTACTTGGTCATGATGTATTACTCATTTTATATATCATTAAACTAGATATGCTTATTATTAAATTTTTACTTTTAAAAATTAAAAATCTGTGTTCATAAGAAATATTTATTAATAGTTTTCTTATACTGGTTTTGTCTGGTTTAGGTAACAGGGCCTCATAGAATGAGCTGAAAAGTATATCTTCTTCAATTAGCTGTAAAGTTGTATGTAAAATTGGTATTATAGCATTATTTCTTCCATAAATATTCATAAAATTCACCAAATAAACCATCTTAGCTTTGCTTTCTACAGCTTAGCTTTGCTTTCCTATCCTCCCCACTCAAGGAACCATCAGATTCCTATACTATACCCTGGAAACTCTCTCAAGGCAGTAAACTGGGGCAATTATAGGATTCACCTCATGTGTTTCCCAATTCTCAGAGATCAGTCTTTTTTTCCTGATATACAGTATCTTCCTTACCACTGTCTGGTTTTGCTTTGTTTGGGGGGGGTGTTTTTCTTGGGGGGTGTTCTTTTGTTTTGTTTTGTTTTGATTTTCATTAATTTTCTTTTGGGATATCTCAAGCAAGGCAAGAGAGTAAATCCAGTCTCTGTTACTCTACTTTAGCCAGAGAAGAAGCTGTGTTATCTTTTTTTACCCATGTGTATCCACATACAAAGAGACTAGATGCACCAAAGCATTAAGAGGATTTATCTCTGAATGGTGAGATTACAATAGTTTTTAAAATTTGTATGTGCAAATTATATTTTCTACAATAGATGTATCACTGTAAAATAAAAATAAAACAGTATTTTTCTCTAAAATTGTTCTCTCCAATGTGTATGATGCCTATCCTGGATGATAGGTGTCCCTAGAATAGATGGCTGGGCTCTGCCACCTTCTGATGTGCTGCAGGGTAACATGATAATGGGCATACTGCTCAGTTCATGAAGCAACACTGATAAGTGTTGCCAGCCAATTTCCTAGGGTAGCTGGGGAGTATTAAAGTTTAGACAAAGCCACCTAAGTTATATCCTGAATCTCTGGAGTACCATGGGCCTACAAGATGGCTACCAACACCTCAGAGCCATGAACTCACAAAGGCTTAAATATTTTTATAGAAGACAGCATACACACACACACAAACACACTGACACACTTCACAGACACACATAACATATCATCTATAATAAATGTTACTAATTTGGAAGCATTTTTGCTAATACTTCACGGAAGAGATATTGAGAAAATTCAAATGACCAAAAATGACAATGAAAATTATATAATTTTAACTCTTTTAAGATACATAAAATACCATTTTAACTCTCTAATACTTGGTTTTTTACTTTAGTGTATAAAGAAATAATATATTAATATTTATGAGAACTTTCAAAAAATTCCTAAAGACCTTCATTTTATGACTCTTTAAAAAAATCTTAAATTCTTCAGTAAATTCATCCACCACAGTTGAAAAATGCAAGGGGACAGATCATTTTATCCTTAATATTACTTGGAAGAAACCTCAGCCATAAATATACTATGGCTAAGTAGATCACGTAATCCAATCATCAGACCACTTCACTCTACACTGGAGGATCAGTCACCTAACTTCCCCTCTCGAGATAACCAATAGCATTTAATATGAAGAAGTGATAAAGAAGAGCTTGGTTTCTAATAAAAGCTTCCACACTGGGTAAAATGTTAAATGGGCAAGTAAGCTGGGATCTATATTTGTTGAAAGCAATCCTGTTACACTGGTACATACCATCTTCCTCAACTCCTGGTTGGAAACAATAATGACATTTGGTGGGTCCCCTATGGCAGTGGCAGCTCCTCCGATATTTGTGAAGATCACTTCTGCAATTAGGACTTGTCTTGGATCAAGGTTGAGCACCTCACATAATCTGTCATAAATGGAGGAAAGTAAAAGTAGCCATGCTATTCAGTTGTGACAGGCCCATGTGCAATCTAAATATTTTGAAAGCACTTGTTTGTACAGAGGAGGCACATACACACCTGTAGGAAGTGCAATGCTGGGGGATGAACAAAAACAACGTTTACAGAGCTACAGTTGATCCTCAGAAGTGCATTTCTCTGAAAGTTAATTGGCCACCCATGTGAACCATCAGTGTGAAAATGTACCTTCCGACAAACATTATATGGTCTCATTTATTTGGCCACCCATGTGAACCATCAGTGTGAAAATGCACCTTCCGACAAACATTATATGGTCTCATTATTATTTGGGGAATATAAAAAATAGTGAAAGGGAATAAAGGGGAAAGGAGAAAAAATGAGCGGGAAATATCAGAAAGGGAGACAGAACATGAAAGACTCCTAACTCTGGGAAACGAACTAGGGGTGGGGGAAGGGGAGGTGGGCGGAGGGTGGGGGTGACTGGGTGAGGGGCACTGAGGTGGGCACTTGATGGGATGAGCCTTGGGTGTTATTCTATTGTTGGCAAATTGAACACCAATAAAAAATAAATTTATTAAAAAAAAAAGAAAATGTACCTCCTCCCCCCCCCCCCAGATCTGGAAGGAGCACACCTCCCTCTGTACAGGCCCTGGCACAAGTGAATGGATGCTGGGCACCAGACCTCTCTGAGTCAGGGGTGGGGTAGCACACAAAGCAGCACCACTCAGTAGCTCACACCAAGCCTACCAGCCTAATTCCTTACCCACCTTCCCTTTCTCAGATGCTGAGGCCCTAATGTGTCTCCTCACCCCTTCCTTCTAACTACTACCCATGGACTTCTTCCTTAGGGAAATAGCACACACTCTACAGCTGTGGTTCCCTACCTTGGCTGCACACTAGATTTATCTGGGAACCTGTGAAAATTCCTACTGCTCAGCCCATGACACACCGAGCCCTGGGAGTAGCCCTGGACAGCAGCATTCTACAGCTCTTTAGGTGGATCCAGTGAGCACAAGGTTGAAAAAATTGCCTTAAAGAAGGTTTGGGAAACATATCATAGCCCACCACACCTGCTCATCCACAATGTCCATTTCCATATAGATACCAAGCCTTGGGTCTCTAAGGTGCTGCAGTCAGAGGTCCTTCCCACCATCTCCCAGCTCAAAGCATAACCATCAGCATATCTGTGGGAGGATCAGCCTACAGAGCCATGTGGAAGCTGAAAATGGAATGGTATCCAGGGACCACGGACAGGAATAAGTCCAAAAAGAGGATCAGACTCCAATCACCATCAGCAGCAGCAGCTCTCAGCTGGGGAAGCTCCCAGGATCTGCCTCCAGCAAGAAAATAATTAGGATACACTAATCAATAATGCCAGAGCAAGCACAGAGATGGCATCCTATGTAAATGGGCCTAGCTGTTTAACTGTGAAGACTAACGCTACTCCAGACAAAGGCAAAAGAATGTTATTAAGCTCAAAAAGTCATGAAGAATATGGTAATATAAATAGTGAATCTAAGCACACTAACACTTGAATCTGAAAGATATAATTTTTAGACTAATAAATGGAATTGCTACTCTCACATAAAATTACAAAATTAGTTCCTGGAACAGTGAGGATATAAACAAATCCCAGCAAGGCTGAGAAGATGACAGGAATATGGGTGCCCCCTGGAAGCCCACTCTCACTGGAGCTGTGGTTAGAGAGTGCACCAACACTCTGGGACCTGGCACATGCAGGTGATACTATGGTTTCCAAACCAGTGACAGCAACAGAGCTGCCTCAGTTGGAGGAGATGAGTGTGGCCTGCCTTATGCCCCCTGAGGTCTCCTCAAGGCAGTTTGGTGCCTTTCATCAGCAGTATGTGTTACTGTTCCCAGCACCCTTAAAACATGTTCATTCCAGCCTTCATTTGCTCTCAGAAGAACCTCACATACTAGGAGGTACTACATTCCCTTTGCAGGAAACCTGTGTCCAAGTGTCCCCTTACCCCAAACCCCTGCCTACATGCTGGAGTGATGAGGCAGCCAAGTTTGCAGAAGCTCGGGCAAGAGACCAACTCTGCACCCTGCAGGCTGCACCTATGGGGCTGCACCCCCCCACCACCACCACCCCACCACCCCCACCCGGGCTCCAATTTACTCTGCCTCTGAGAGTCATTAGTCTTCAAATGCCAAAGTCATTATCTAGAATTAGTCCTGAGCCCTGGAGGTAGTCCCTTATCGATCACTTTGAACTTGCTATGTCTCCAGCCTCAAGTCCAGGAGGGTCTTTTATCCAACAGAATCCTCAAAACAGTAGCTTGGGTTAGGCACAACCCAGATCAATGTAGCTAAAGTGACTTGTCTAGGGCCTTTAATTATGTAGCTTGCTCCTCTGAACTCCCAGGGGGTATCTGTTTCCCTAGGATCAGCCGAGTACCAGGATATGATGGGTCCAAGCAGGGAAAAACCATGATATGCTGGAGAACCATCTTCAAGACAAAGAACATTAAGTATGGATAAAAGGAGGCACCTGTGTGACTCATTCAGCTGAGCGCCCAACTCTTGATTTTTTTAATTTTATTTATTTATTCATGAGAGACAGAGAGAGAGAAAAAGAGAGAGAGAGAGAGAGAGAGAGAGAGAGAGAGAGGCAGAGACACAGGCAGAGGGAGAAGCAGGCCCCACACAGGGAGCCCGACGTGGGACTCAATCCCGGGACTCCAGGATCATGTCCCTGGCCAAAGGCAGCCACTAAACCACTGAGCTACCCAGGGATCCCTCAACTCTTGATTTTGGCTCAGGTAATGACCTCAGGGTTGTGAGACTGTCAGGCCAGATCCCACAACACTCCAAGGAGCCTGGTGAGAGCAAGATGGCTGCCCCACCTTCCCCAGTCCCTGGCTACATGCTCCTGCCCACTTGGCAAGAGCTCCTACACTGTGCTCTGTTACACCTGTGATTAGCTTAATGGACAAGAACTCCTGGCAACTAATGCTCTGTCCCTCATCCTGGGACAGCAAAGCCTGAGTCTTCTGACTCCTACAGATGTTTCTGTGGCCACCACTGCTGCTGTCATAGTTATACCCATAGTCAAAACCATAGCCATAGCCAAAAGCACTGAGCATCACAGTCCTGGGGGACATAGGCTAGACTAGGGCACACCAGCAAAGGGAAAGCAGGGGCTAGATTGAGAAGTCAGAGCACACCACCATGAGCCTGGATTAACACCCAGGCAGGGCCACTCTGCATACCTTATGGTCACAGGAGTAAAAAGCAGCAATGTGGTCACATTGTCCAGGAAGGCAGACAGGACAGCAGCAATGAGACACAACATGATGATCATGGCCCACACTCTTCCTCGAGATAGTCGGTATGTCTAAAATATACACACACATAGAAAGAACAGGTCAGGATCAGTGGGGTTGTAGAAAAATGTGATTTTTCATAGGGATTCTAAGAACTAGGAGTCCAAGAAAACACTCCATGGTGGATTGAAACTTCAGCCCATGGATTCCTACATTTGCTAAGATGAGGGAGTGATACCTTGTTCCTGGACATTCTGAATCCATGTTGGACTATACTCCTTCCCTCTGATTCTCCTCACAGTCCCCTGTGAGGGTTCATTGATTACAAAGTGATAGTACTGTATCCCTTTAACATTATCCAGTATTTTGCAAGCTTCTTTTGGTTAGACAGACTGGCTGTGACCCTTAAGCCTGCAGATTGTTGGCAACTTAAGATTTTGGGACTTTCAGTATCAAGATATTGAGAGATGCGGGGCGCGGGGCGGGTGCAGGCCCCTCTATCAGACACTGCGGCAATGGCCTTTACCCCGACCCTCCCTTCCCGCGCCCTCGCAATAAATAAATAAATAAATAAATAAATAAATAAATAAATAAGATATTGAGAGGAAGAGGCCAGATATTTGAAGGTGCAAGATGATACACAAAGATGGCAAAAATCATACCATGGTTCTATCTTTCAGAGTTTGCAAAGGCTTTGATGAGTAAATAATTTTTTAAAAGAACTTTCCAGTTCCAAAACAAACAAACAAAAAAATCAAGTATAACATCAGCTTTCACATTAGCACAGCATAGCAAGATCTCCTCTCACCAACCCTGAGTGAATTAGCACCGGTGGAGTCTGGCTATTAGAATGTGCTGGTAGATTCTCTAGGATTCCAGTTATAAAAGTGAACATTTAGATGTTCAATGACTAGAAAGAAATTATTGAAATTATTTCACCAAAAAGCAAGTAATCAGAAGTTGAAATGTTTAGATGCTCTAAAATGCAAAACAATATTTGATATGTAGCTTTCAACTTGCCAATTTAACCAATGTTGCACAAACATTCAACTCAAATACTCCTTTCCTTGATTTCCTTCTTCAGTTTACTGAGAACATGAAAGTTGCTCAGAGCCATCTAATTCGGCACAGCAACTGTACCCTGTATTAACAGCTGTGATTTTGAAAAGGAGAATGGAACTTTAAAATATTTGCTTTATTTTTAAAAAGGATTTTTATTTATTCATGAGAGACACAGAGAGAGAAGCAGAGACACAGGCAGAGGGATAAACAGGCTCCATGCAAGGAGCCCGATGCGGGACTTGATTCCGGGACTCCAGGATGGCACCCCGGGCCGAAGGCAGGTGCTAAACCACTGACCCACCCAGGGATCCCAAAATATTTGCTTTAAATGGTAGTTTTATTAACTAAATACATCATGGCAAAAAAATTAATTAATACATAAATATTAAATGCCACATCAAACCTACCTTTACAGCACAATAATCAAAAAATCCAGTTTCCGAAAATATAGCAACTAAGATCATCTGTAGGGAAAAACAGAAAAAGGAGTTAAGGAGACTCTTTTAGCAATGCGCCATCCTGAAAGGACATTGGAGTGACCAGTTGCAAATCTCAGCTCTGGCCTTTGCATGAAAGCTGTCACTTCATGAAGCTTCTTGCTCTCTTGCTGAGTGTAGTCCACTTACTAACTTCCTGAATGAAGCCTCTTATTAGCAGGTGTGCAGCTCTATATTTTTATCCAGGGATATATACCTTAGGTACACTATCATTCCACCTAATCTTCACAAGAAACATCAGATATTATCATTACTCTTTTTTTTTTAAGATTTTATTTATTTGAGGGAGAGAGAGAGCAGGGGGAGAGCAGAGGGAGAGAGACATGCAGACTTTGTGCTCAGTGTGGAGCCTGATGCAGGACACATGATCATGACCTGAGCCAAAACTAAGAGCCAGACCAACTAAGCCACCCAAGCCCCCCTCATTACTCTCTATTATATAGCCCAGGACACCAGGGGGCAGAAAAGGAAGATGACTTGCTCACAGTCACAAAGCTAAAAGAAGCAGAGGAAATGAGCCGGAATGTGGCCTTCTACACATACATGTCCACATAAACAACAATTAAACACTTTAAGGTTTTTAAACTGGTTATATTTTGTTTCCTAAAATAGTTAAACATATTTTCATCACCAATCTGATCAAAACACACAAATAAGAGCAGTTACATTGAAATGATTATTCTCTGGTTCTATCTGAACCCAGAACTTGTGCTTTTTTCTAGGGATGACATAGAGACAAAAACGAAAAGTAATGTCCCATTTATTACATATCTAATCAACCAGACATTTCAACCAGCTTGAACTTTCTGGAAGATTCTTTATTCCATCTCTGAAGATGGTAATATACCAATGTATTAAACTTGGAGTGAGAAGATGCATGTGCAAGTACTAACTCTGCCACTTAGAAGTAGTTAAATCTTGTCCAAACAAAATTATTTAATTTTCTGTACTTTAGCTTTCTTACCTCACCTCTAAAGTTTTGTTCCTTGTAAGGCTGTTATAAAAATTCAATAAAATTATGTAAATTAAAGTAATTAGAAAAGAGTAGGCTCAATATAGTCTTTTATTTTTTTTTCAATATAGTCTTTTAAATATACTATACAAAATGAAAATTTCCAAAAATCAGTTTAGGCTCAGTACAAATATCCACCTTGTCTATAGTAACCATCAATGTTCATCCTAACCCAAATGGCCACCTGTCTATAGAATGTGGTGCTTCACTCAACAATAAATGCTTCACATGAACTGAACTGAACTGAACTGAATGAGTAGGTCTTGTGTTGTCTTCCATTGTGGAAGCTAGTCCACACATTTGCTGCCAAAACTATCCAGAAGAGACTGAGACTCTGAATTGGGGTCAGTGTCCCCATGGGTGGCTGACTGCCATGAAATAAAGAGGCAAAGGGAGCAGTCTGGATATATAGACTATCTTTCCACCTCCAAATTTCTAGAATCCTAGAAGCTTGCTGAACTGACTTCAACTGAGAAAAAATTAAACCATTTGTTATGGGCTCAATTGTGCCACTTTCCCCCACAAATTCCTATGGTAAAATCCTAACCCCAGTACCTCAGAATAAGTTAAAGTGAAGCTCTAATCCAGTATGACTGGTATCCTTATAAGAAGAGATGAGCACACAGACACACACAGAGGGAAGACCATGTGAAGATACAGGGGAAAGATGATCATCCGCAAGTCAAGTAGAAAGGCCGCAGAAGGAATCAACCCTGCTGACACTTGGGTCTCAGAAATCCAGCCTCCAGAAGTGAGGGAATAAATTTCTTTTGTTAAATGTGGTACTTTATTATGGCAGCCCCAGCAAGCTAATACACAACTCACCTAAAGTGTTTTTTAACCTATTTTATGAGACATCTTCCTTCTTCTTTCCAGATGCCCAGGCCCTAGTATATACTTTTCAGGACCAACGTGATTATGAACTTCTCTATAAAGCCTGAGTTCAGAGCACTGGTCTATCTCCTTACCCTCTAGAGGAGGCAGCTAGTTTGGATCATATTGAAGCTTATAGCAGCATGGCCTTCTGTTATGACTACCAGGGGGGATAAAATGTTACCAAGGAGAATGAGGAAATATAGTAACCTGCTTTACACAGAGTAGGATTTTTTGACCAGAAAGGGAAAGTCCTCCTTTAGGCTACTTAGCTGTTGTGGGGTCTGTTCAAGAACATGTGCAGCATTCCCATTGCTGTCCAGGCCCTTATCAGATTTCACTGATTCTAGTTAAATCAGTTTACAACACACGAACTATTACTCAGGGACAATTTCTTCCTTTTTCCATGTAATTACAGTGTTTTTCCAATCACCAAAACTACTTGGTTCACTTATTTAGAATATTCCATTTTATATTTTAAGGGAAGTAACTCAAAAACTTTGCTAAATTTTCTAAATGGCAATATAATTCAACTATCAGACAGGCCTGTGACTCAATTCTCCACCTAACTAACCAGAGCACTAATTATTCTATTCCTCTACAGGAAAAATTGTCTAGACCTGTACTAATACTTCTTAACCAAGCCCTAATTGTCAAGCAGTACAATGTTTTTAATATAATAAAAGATTATCCACAGTAGCAGCAAAAGAGAAGGGGCTGGGTTACACAGGCTTGGAACCGTGTCCCACTGGGAGGATTGTAATTACCATGCCAAATAGTAGGGCCAACGTCTCAAAATCAATCCACTCCACCACATGGGTCAGGCTGGGTCTCTACAATCAAAGCACAAATTTCCAATTAATCTTGGGCATCATCCTCCTGGTGATAAGCTGTAAAAAATGTGCTGCTCTTTATGGCAACCCCACTCATTGGGCCAGAGTCAAAAATCATACCATCCTCTTGCCTTTGAAATTAGAAATATCACTGATGAAAATCACTTGTGACCCAAGGCATAATAATGTCAAGTCTATGCATTTAATAATAAGAAAAGCAGATTTCTTAAATCCTGTCCCTGGCAACTCCATGAAGAACTCTAGCCTGAATTATAGGATTGACCCCTGAGGTTATTGAGGTCCCTAGATGCCTTCCTTGGTGTTGGGGCATGAGGCCAAGATGGCTATAACTAAAGGACACACTTGTCCTACTCACCAGTTGTCTATCAACTCTTACTTCATCTTCTAACAATTCTGCAGAGTAGAGAAGGCTGGGGTCATGGGGAACTGGGAACATGGAGTGTGAGAGTCTGGTTGTTGGGAGAGGACTCCCAACCTGGACTATGGGTGGCCCAGGGAGATACCCACAGTCCAGGCTGTATGCCACATTAACATTTTATAAAAATAAAATAATTACTATTATACTGCTCCTTAAAGTTAATTAAAATAAAAATAATAGTGGTTTATGTATAAGTTTTAGGACTCTGGGACATTTTCCAGAGTATTGTTTATATAAGATCTAACTAAGAAAAATAAAATAAATAACTGAGCATGGCTCCACATAGTTTTTTAAGCCAGTTATTATTCTTTGGTTGACTGACTGGTCTCTAGTAGCACTTTGCAAAACACTCCTGTGAATTCTATAAAGTTGTTTCCAAATCCAGTTCTGTATGCTCCCACCTTGTTCAGTTCCAGCACTGCTCCTCAAACAATGGCAGGCCTCCATCTCCAGTGAGTGCTTGGCCTCTCCTGCCTTCCTACATTCATGCCTATACTCCTGCCAGACAAGCCATGCACAGACACTGATCGGGTGCCATCCACCCCCAAACATGCATCTCTAGGGACCTCCTGGTATCTGCAAGACAAAACTCTAACCTCATCATTTCCTACCTCTGCTCCATGCAGGATGGCCCCCTCTAGATCCCAAGGGTTGACAGTACCCAGAGTCAACTCTAACACCACTCAGCTATATAGCCCTAGCCAATGAATGACTATGATGAGCCTTTCCTCAGCTAAAACAGGGAATAAAAAAAGTGTGTATGATAAAGTCAAATGAAAAATACTCATCAATGGTGATAAAGTTTTTAGTTCATGCTTCTAGTAGTTCATTATCCTGAGGGATAAATGTGGAAATAGTATATAAAGGAATTAAAATCACCAGTAATGCCTAATTCCTGGACTGTCTTTGAATCTCACACTCTATCGAGTGTTAAGCCATTGACTCAAAATATTACAACTTACATCTCCAATCACAGCCAGCGCTGCTAATGCTGCAAGGGAACCCAACATGGCTGCCAGTGTTCTGTGAACAATCTGGAAAGGAACACAGGAAATTATTTTATCTCAGTCCATAGAGGTTTAAAATGCACAAAAGCCTATATTGCTATTAGTATCTGTTAGGGTCGGCCATTCTATACTATATCTATAAGAAAATAAATAAATCATGGGTCTTGTTCTTTCAGAGTCTAGACACCCCAGAGACACATACAGCACCAGTCTGCCTTCTAAAGAAAGCTGATTTCATTTCCTGAATTATTAGATGACCCAGAAGTAGAAGCAGACGGCTAAAGTATGTTCTATAAGGAAGGCTGCAGTAAATTGTCATTAATTATTTACCATATAATCCCTAGGCAATTAGACCATTAGTTCCACAACATAAATCAATTCTGACCAATTAACTGCTGTTATTAAACCAGAAGTATATAGTCAAATGCTTAATCTAATTGAGACTTCAGTATTTTCATTGAATCATGAAAGTATTTTTTCTATTTAATTAGAATTCAAATGGGCATGGAATTTCTGAAACAAAATATGAAGAAAGGCAGGGATGTAGAGAAACTGGAACCCTCAAACATTGCTAATAGGAGTGTAAAATGGTGCAGCCATCATGGAAAAGTTTGGCAGTTTCTTAAAAAGTTAAATAATAAATTACCATATGACCAGAAATTCCACTCAAGACTAGAAATTTACTCAAGAGAAAATAAAACATATGTCCTATTAAATTAATTAAATAAGGCCATTAAATATTAAATTAAATGTGGCTCTAACACCTTTTCATCCTACAAAAGCAAACCAAAATCTAGGCCTGTAATAAATGCCTCAAGATTAAGAAATCAAAATCTAAAGACAACTCATCATAAACAGTCAACTAGGCTTCCTGAATAAGGCAAACCCTTAAGCTATAGCTAATCAAATCATTTCCTTACTATGCTTCCTCCACCTTTTCTCTGTAAAAGTCTTTCCTATAGCTCCTGTTGGTAGAGCACTCCCTAAGTACTTCCAGTTTGGCACTGGCCAATTCAAACTAATTTTTGCTCAAATAAACTCTTAAAAATTTACTATGCCTTGATGTATCTTTTAACAATTCACACAAAAGCATAAATGTTCATAGCAACATTATTCAAAAGAGGCAAAAACTGGAAACATTCCAAATGTCTATCCATGGTAAGTGGATAATAAAAAGTAGTATAAGTTACAACATAGAACTACTGATACATGCTATGCTATGAATGAACCCAATATACATTATGCAATGTGAAAGAAGTCAAACACAAAAGACTGTATATTGTGTCATTCTATTTAAATGAACCGTTCAGAATAGGTTAGAGAGACAGAAAGATCAGGGTTGCCTAAGGCTGGAGGTAACAATAGAGACTGATCACAAATGGGCCCTGGGAGTCTTTTTGGGATGATGAAATGTTCTAAAACTGTGTCATGCTGCTGTGGTTGCTGCATGTGTCTAGATGTCTGTGTCCTCCCAAAATTCATATATTGAATTTCTAATCCCTAAAGTGATGGTATTAGAAGGTGGGCTTTTGGAGGTAATGAGGGTGGAGTTCTCATCAATGGGATTAGTGCCCTCATAAAAGAGGATCCAGAGAGATCCCTTGCCCCTTCCACCACATGAGGATACAAGCTGGCATCTTGACCTTGCATTTCCAGCCTCCAGAACTGTGAAAAAATGTCCATCATTTATAAGCCACCCAGTTTGTGGCATTTTGTTATAGTAGTACTGAGAAGTGAGGATGCTGCTATAATACCTAAAAATGTGGAATTAGGTAATGGGTAGAGGGCAGAAGAGTCTGGGGGGATACACCAGGAAAAGCCTACATTGCTGCTAAGAACTGTCCGAGGAGAAACTTCAGTCTTCATAGAGAATACCTAAGTGTTCATAAACAAAATGGTGGTGGTAAACAAAATATTGATGGTAAAGGCCATTCTGAGGAGGTCTCAGACAGAATGAGAAACATGTAATTAGACACTGGAGAAAAGGTGATCCTTGTTATAAAGTAGCAAAGGACTTGATTCAATTGTTTGTATCCTAATTTGTGCAAGGTACAACTGATAAGGGATGACATTAGCTAATTAGATGGCTGAGGATTTCTAAGCAAAAAGTTTTAGGAGCTGCCTGGTTACTCTTCAATGCTTTGAGTAAAATGAGAGAAGTGAGAAATGACTTAAAGATGGAATCGGAGTGCCTGGGTGGCACAGTCAGTTAAGTGTCTGCCTTCAGCTCAGGTCATGATCCCAGCATCCTGGGCTTGAGTCCCACATTGGGCTCCCTGTTCAGCAGGGAGGCTGCTTGTCATGCTCTCTTTGCCTCATGCTCACTCTCTCTCTTTCAAATATTTTTTTTAAAAAAAAAATATGGAATTGTTAATCAAAAAGGAAGCTGAACTTTAAAATTCTCAGCCTATCCAAACTGAAAGAAATGAGAAAGTTTATTCAGGAGAGAACACAAAAGGCACAGCCAAATTTGATAAGGTCATCATTTTGTATCTGACATCTCAACAGAAGGTAGGACAATGGAGAGATTAATCAGCCATCTAAACAGAAGCCAAGATCTACCATCCAACACAATGAAAGAATAGTCCATAGAAGGTACTTCAGAGACCATTAGAGCTGCCCCTCCCATTCTAGGCCCAGAGTGAAAGGGCCTACATGGCAGAAAGATTTCAAAGGGGAGGCCAGTGCTGCTTGGCACTGCTTCACATTGTGGGTTCGAGTGGACTTGGTGCACCCAGCAAAGCACAAGGGGTATGGCTATTTCCACCTAGATTTTGAAGGATGGCCCTGTGAGCCTCAGGCCATGGACTCAAGCAAAGGACCACCAAGAACACAAGATCACAACAGAAAGCCACTGCTGGAGCAATGCCCAATACAACAATAGACCAGCAGAGCCATGGGCCTTTGATTCCAGCCTGCAGCATGGGGTGTGCCCAGCAAAGTCACAGGGCAGGGCTATCCAAAACAGTGAGGACAGGACTCTTACTGGTTTTGGACTTGCAAGGGACCTCTCAATCCTTTCTTCTTTCCTATTTCCACCTTCTGGAAAACGAATATATATTCTATCTCTTTTCAACCATTGCATTTTAGAAGCACATAACATGTTTAATTAAGTTCACAGATTCAACATCTTTGGTTCAAAGCAGGGAGAAATTTGCTTCCAGATATACATTGAGTCTCATCCATATCTGATTTAGATGCTATTTAGATGAGACTTTGGACTTTAGACTTTTAAGTTAATGCTGGAACAAGTTAGGACATTTAGGATTATTGAAATAGAATGAATGTATTTTGCATTTCAGAATGCAAACTCAGACATGAGTTTGGGGAGGCCAGTAGAAGAATATTATAGTCTGAATGTTTCTGCATCCCCAAAACTGTGAGAAATAAATTTGTTGATGAGCCACCCAGTCAGTGGTATTGCATTATAGCAGCCTAAATAGACTGAGATAGGTGCTAAGAGTTGGTGAACACAGCAGGGAGCCCCTCTGCCCTCAGCACAGATGGACACCCAGGGCCTCTGAACATGGCAGGGAGCACCTCTGCCTACCAGTTAGGGATTCTTGAGTTAAGAACCACCCCATCCTCTCACATGACCCCTGCAGGAGGCCAGTACCTCCAAAATGAAATGTGAGTGAGGCTGCTTCCTATTTACATAATAGTCAAGGCACGATGTCTAGGCAGTGACAGACAACCATGATCAGGGAACGGCCAGAAACTAAAGACAACAATGTCCCTCACAGAGCTCATGATCCACCTCTAGGGGAACTACACAGAGCCATGGGTCTGCAATTAAGAACAAGCTGGAGGGAGAACTGGGGAGCAGATGTTTCTCCCACAGAGTCCTGAAGGAGCGTCAGGATAGAAACAATGAGGTTTCCCAGCACATCTATGAGAATGGCTAATAATTAATTAATTAATTAATTAATAAAGAGTAGAAACAACACCAAATGCTAGTGAGGATGCAGAGACTGATTCACTCACCTGTTGCTGGTGGGAATGTAAAATGGTCTAAAAAATTAAACATGAATCTACTTTATAACCCACCCATTCCATCCCAGACATTTAATCCCAGAGAAATGAAAACCTATGTTCACACAAAACTATACATGAGCAAACATAGCAGCTTTATTTGTGACTGCCCCAAATTGGAAATAACTCAGATAACCTTCAAGAGGTGAATGGTTAAACATCTACATCATGGTGAAAAGGTACAAACCATTGATTACATACAACATTCTTGAACTGATAAAATTATGGAAATAGTGGGCAGAGGGGTAACTATCAGTAGAAGGGGATTATAAGGCATGGAAGGAAGTGAGTGTGGATATAAAAGGGCAGCATGAGGGGTTCTTCTTTGGATGGAAATGTTCCATATTTTGAATGTGGCTACATTAATATCCTCTTTGTGATCTTACTACAGTTTTGTTAAGAGGAGTTGACTATGCCAGACCCAAAATATGCCACTTTGGCATATTGATTATTTTAAATTAAATTTACTTTAAAAATGAGTGGGAAATATCAGAAAGGGAGACAGAACATGAGAAACTCCTAACTCTGGGAAACAAACTAGGGGTGGTGGAAGGGGAGGTGGGCGGGGGGTGAGGGAGACTGGGTGACGGGCACTGAGGGGGGCACTTGATGGGATGAGCACTGGGTGTTATTCTATATGTTGGCAAATTGAACACCAATAAAAAATAAATTTATAAAAATTTTAAAAATTTGATTATTTTTAAAGAAACAGCTGTTGCACAAAAGACACTCTAAACCTTTTTTGTCCTCCTGAAAAGAAAAAAAAAAAACACCTATGTATGTGAAAGGTACTCTCCCTGTACTAGGAGGGCAGATGCCATCTTCACCTCCAGAAACAGGGAACTAGGGGTGAGAAGACTATATCAACAAACCTTGTTACTTCACTAATCTATTACTCAAGACCCTTTGTTTTGTCAATTCTTCACAAATTTATTGTTTCCTTGTCTTAAAGCCATAAAAGCTGCCTACTTGGTCATTTCTCTTTAAATCTCCTA